CTATAACACTTTTTAGATAATATAACAAAGATTACAAGAATCTACCTGGGAGGTTTGGCCAATTACAAAATATATCAGCAATGTTCCAAAATTACAAACAATTCATTTAGGCTAACAAAATCTTCCCTGAGGTTCAATAAATACCCTCATCGTGATGATGTAGCTTATAAGAATGAACTATATCAATCAGTGCTTTAAACCATTATCAAGCTCTTCAATAATCAAATTGAAGCTCAAATCTTTTGCAATTATTTAACTATCAAGGCAAAGGAGTGAAACAAAAGTAAGAAAAACAGAAAGTGTTTCAAAATGCGCTAAACTCTTGTCATAATGAAGCATGACCTATAAACTTGTTAAGCAAAATTAAGAAAATCATACAGTGTTTCGGAATGCGCTAAACTCTTGCCATAATAAAGCATGACTATAAACTTGTATGCTTAATAGATGAAGTCAGAAAATAACACATTGAACAATCTTGTCCTATCAATGAAAATGACCTAATTACGCTTCCTCTAAAAAACTATCAAGTTTGATTAGTTCACAATGGTAAATAGAGATATAGGAGGAGAGTATACGAATCGAATCGGGCCAGTGTGGACATATGAAGGGCCCGACGCCCACGACGGCAGCACCGGAGGAGCCGAAGTTGCTGTCCCGAGGGTGGATTTGTAGAGCAGGCGATGCATGGTTCTAGAGTGGCACACGCCTGCAGGATGGCTCGGGTGCCGGTGGTGACCCGTCGGACCTTCACCTCGTCACTCTCTTTCTCTCCTCAAAGTCCAGCGCCGTGACCACGTGGAAGACGCCGCCACAGCCGTCGAAGGTGTCGGCACCGTCGGATCTACGGAGTACACCGCCGCTTCTTCTTCATTTTGCTGTTGCTCAAGAATCAATGAAAGTAGTGATTAGGATACCGTCAAAAAGGTTAAAAATAATTTATTATTAAAACAAAATAGCAGATATTATTAAAAACAATTAGAAACCCATAAAGCAAAATAAATTATAAACATGAGCATTGCCTTAAAACTTACCTCTTTCCTGGCATCACTCACGAGAGAGGCCATTTCTTGAAGAAAATAGGCAAATACCTGTACAATGTTACACAACAGTTGAAAGATCAAAAGGAATTACAACACATCATAACAAACATTTAAGAACGTTAATGCCAATATACATACCTCAACATCTTCAGGATCATATATCCCTGCATCATACATCACTCTTTTTCTCCTATCTAATAAAACAGTTTCACTCATACGATTATCAACCTCTCATGTTAATAATACCAATATCAAATCAATCTAAAAAAGAAAAAAAATTGAAATTTTCTCTCTGGTCAATGAAGACCCCATTTATTTTTATTAAGCCCATTACCTGAATAAGCTTCTTGAATTTGCTGGAATTTCTGCTTGGCCTCCCCAAGAACAGAAGAGTTTCTACTGGCACATTTGTCCGGACGCCATTGCTGGATCAAAATCACCCAATTACTTTTGTAATAACTTAACATCATCCCCAATACTATAACATAAAGACAACCCAATTGCAAAAAATCTCAGCTTTCGACAAAATGAAAAAACAAAATCGAGAATCCTTAAAGAATAAATTTATAGAAAACCCCGAAAAGATTAATTTTTTTGTTATAAACAAAACGTGTAGGCAAAACATACCATTTCCAGCTTTCAATAAGCACGTTTAATTTCTTCAGATTATTAGGGTTTGTAAGAAGGAGGAGTTGTTT